TAAATTGTATCTGTGATAATTTAAACAAGTCAAATTTAGCCGCCTTGTTTAATTACATGATCTAATTATTTTGTTAGATCCCAGCGCAAATGGACTCCTGCATAAGATACTGTCTACTGCTTATTCTATCGATCTCAACGAACGCGTTTTGGTCACGAACAAAACCATTAAGAACCATTCAACTCGCGCGTTCGTGCCCGTGTTTTCCACACCATCAACTTTAGTGATTTTCGTTGTCGTTTCGATTTTGAGAACTACAACTCTTGACAACTACAACAACCGCCCCATCTGAAACTTTGCGCTGAGGAAAAATGTCAACTATTTTTATCCATAAATTTTGGGAATGGCTCTGCAATAGAATTCTTAAAAATTAGTTGATAAGGGTTTTTAAAGCGTCAATTACAACATATAATTAAAAAAAAAAAAAAAAACAGTGAAAGTAGTGAAAATTTGGCCTAGATCGTGCACAGAGAAGGCCTCTTTTAAGATGGGAAAAAAATGCAGCGTAGTAAGATAAACAGTAAAATCTCCCGGAAAGTCTTTTGCAGCTATCGAAACAACTAAAACAACTACAGTGCATTTTTTCGAGGCTGTGGAAAGAATAAAAATCTAAGCAGACACAACAAAAGCTATCGAAATACGTTTTACTTTAAATGCTCGAAAACAATACTTTTATCCAGATCATCAAAATGCTTGATCTTAAAAGAAGCTCGTTAAAAGTGCAAGTTTGGGGTAAAAAAGGCCACGCTGATCGGGATGTTAACTTAGGGCAGAAAACAAAAACGAAAACAAACGTGCGTAAAGTCACCGTCGTATAGATGTTTTAGATCAGATCTTAACTTTTGTTATAATAATGTAGTCAGAAAAAAAAAAAAAAAAAAAGAAAGAAAGAATTTTCTAAACATTTTTTTTCCAGCTGCAAAAGACTTTTAAGAAAACTTGCAGAACCACAGCCAGAAAGACAAAACCCCTCAGAAAGCTTTTTTAATTTATAAAAATTCTCAGTTCTGTTTAAAATGGAGCAAAGCGACATTTAATATATTTGTTCTACTGCAGTAGCAGACGCATCAATAAATAAATTATTGCAGGCTAAAATTACCCAAAGCTAGCGTTAGAATGATGTCTATTTTTCCCACACCATAAACTTCTTGCTTTTAGTTCTTGTTTCAATCTTGTGAACTACAACTTCTAACATCCGCCCCGAATGAAACTTTCCGCTGACGAAAAATGTCAGCTGTTTTATCCTTATTGGGAATGACTCAATAGAATTCTTAAAAAATAATAAATAAGTGTTTTTAAAATGTCAATTACAACTTAAAAAAACAGTGAAAGTAGTGAAAATTTCGTCTAGATCGTACACAGAGAAGGCTTCTTTTAGGATCAGAAAAAAATGCCAGTATAGTCAGTTGAATAGTATGGTCTCCCGAAAAGTCTTTTGCAGCTATCGAAGCAACTTAAACTATTGCAATTTTTATGCCTTTGGTAGCTTCAAAAGAAGCAGTAAAAAACTACTAAACCTAGAATAACGAAAAGCACAATATAATGAGGAAAACTACGCCTAATTTGCAAGTTTGTTTCCTTAAATAGGTTAGAGATCGGATAAAACGTTTGCTTGCGTTCCCAGACCATTTTACTCACAATGGCTATATATTACGGCCGAATAACCTGCTGGAAACGAACTAAACGAAATCAGTAATAAATAACCAAAATGCTCGATCTTAAAAATATGAAGTTGACAGGTGACATTATATCCTTAGTCAATACTTTACTGTTTCAAAGGGAAAAATTACATATCGGTAACGTAATATTTTTGAATTGAAGTGTCTGTTATAATTAACAGAAAGCTTCCTATTAATTAGCTGTATCGTGGCATCGAAGCAAAAGAATAGGGTCTAACAAAGACAAGAGAAATTCAATGATAAGAGAACGTTTTTTAAACGGTTTTGAAAGATATTGTTTAATTTAACAATTTGGGCGATACGGGATCGATCTAAGGTGCTTAATTTAACGTTCAAAGGACAGAAAATTCTTTTATACTTTTGGTTCCTGCATTTCGTAAACATTGGTGTATGAAAGACACGTTTAAAAGTTTGCCTTCAAGGAATTATCGATGGGTTCTTAGCAGTACCTGGAAAATATTTTTCACGTTCAAGAAATTGAATAGGTTTTTATCTTTTAAAACTGGCTGTTTTACCTGAACTTTTTTTTGCTTTAAACACTCGTTTAATTTGTTGAAAAGAAAAAAAAAACTAACAATGCCTTATAAACGATTTTCGTCCACTTTCATTATGTAGTTTTAAAAGTTTTATTTCCAAAGATTATTGTTGTAACTTAAACAGCTTAGTTATTGCGGTGTTTATTACTATCCCGGTTTTTCATTTCAACTAGGCGTTAAGGGAACACCCTTGCAATTGTCGATCGCTTTTAATTGATACTCGAAGATTGTTGAACGATAATGGAAAAAAAAAAAAAAACGAAACATAATTGAAGTTAGCACATTTTGGGCAGTTACGATTATTCAAGCTCGATTATTCACAGCCAAGTGGAAGGTTAAATTAAGTTACTATAAGAAATTGTGTTTCTGGAGCTCGAAGGACCGAAAAAGTTTATCCTGAGACCACGACCGGATATAAAAACGGAAATTTTTTTTCTGCGTTTCAGCATTCCTTCCACAAGTCAAAGGTGGTTTTCGGCTACCAAAAATGCAGATTTTTGAAAATGGATCCTAGTGGAGTTGGAGTTTTTTTCAAAATGCCCACTTACCGTTTGCGTGTGGGCGGACAAAAACGGAGGATACGATGATGACATACATCATACACCTAGCGCCCTCAAAGGGCTTATGTATTTCGCTCGTTTGAGCGTTGTCGTACGGACGGGCGAAAACGATTGGTATACGATTCGTGTAGAGGAGAAACGGAGGAAACGTCTCTGTTTTCAAAAATATTCGGATACGTGAGGACGAGGCCTGAAACGATTTTACCTAGTTGTAGTGCCGCATATTTTTCCATTCATTCTCCAATCGTCTAATTTTCTGCTAAGTGTAAAACACTCTTCTAAAATCTTTCAGATTTAAGGTCCTATTAGGAGTTTTTGGGATAGAAATATTATAAAAAAAAAGACAATTAACGAAATGCTTGGAAAACGGATGTTAGGAACGATTGAAGAGCAAAAATAGGGTTTTCTTTTTAATATAGAAGGTGTAAGAAGTGCGGACAAGACTAAAAGGCGGAAGTTTTAATACCATTGACTAGAGTTGTGGATACACTTCAAAAGACTTTACGAGATAATTAGTTTATTGACGTCATTACGTCATTACCGTGTTCAGTGGGAATGTAAGGACCTCTTCACATGAGCCCGGTGACCGGCCGGGAAGAATTTCGCCTTGGGTTCATATGAGAAATTTCAGCCCGGTTTTCGAGATGAGGAAAGGTTAAAGAGTTTTGGGGCTAGATTCGGAAAACAAATTAAAGCAAACACGGCGAAACACAAAAGTTTAAACTTTCGGGCCTATCATAGCTTCTGGAAGTCTTAAAGCTGTATCACAGTAGTTAAATGGGGTGCTTATGATGTGGAAAGCAATCCAAGGCGATGCCATTCAGACCGCCAGAATTCATCCCGCCGTGCATCCCGGTAACCGGGATGATTCGTGTTCACATGGCAAACGAGATCTCGGTTGGACTGAACCGAGATCTCGGGAACCGAGCCAGTCCGCCCTCTCATATAAACACATCAAAAATTTTACAAAGGATTTAGAGGTAAGGCGAGATATCGGAAACCGGGCCAGCCCGGTCAACCGGGCTCATATGAAGAGGCCTTAAAGCACGCTCCCGCTACTGAATTTGATTAGGAGAATATTCCAGCTTGTTTTTAAGGTATGACTTGTCTTTGAAAAACATCTTCCTTTCCCTGGAGCCCTTTCCATGGTAATCAGAAACAGGAAATAAATTACTAATGACGACTTAGCGGTCAGGCTCCTCCACAGAGTGGTTCTTCGTGTACCCGATTCTGCAACAAACTCATTGGAATTTGAAAATAGTCGGGATTTTTGAGGAGACGGAAAAAAAGAAATGCCCGGAGAAAAACTTTTCGAAGTACTCAGCTCGCAGAAGATGTCGCTACTGGGATTCGAACTCAGGCCACATTGGTGGGACTTGAAAGCCCTCACCTCTTCACCAGTTTACATTATTAATATAGCAATTGAATAATATTGAAAGTAAAATTAAGGGATACGGGATACGCTCCTTCCGTTGAAGCTTTTGTAGCTTAAGAGTAAAATAAAGTAGTTGAAGGAGTTGGTAAAGTTTACCACTGTTCTCAAAAACTGAGCGACAAGCATAGAAAAAAAAAAGCGAGATGGAGATGAACGAGTGAGCTATTATAAGCGGAATTCGTGGTTGAAAATTCAAACCACGGTCAAAGTTCCTGGAAGTACAATCGATCAGAGATAAATTCCCCTGTTCAAACACCACTTGGTGAACGATGCTTATGCTTTAATGGGTAATTATTCATCCCTGGCTAGTTTTAAACTTTGGAAGAAAGGCAATTTGTGATGAAACTCTGACTGCTAGGGTTGAATTTAGGCGTTTCCCAATAAGCGAATTTCCGATTGTCCCAGGCCTCTGTTTCAATGCGAGGCTCCGTGCGAAGCCATTGACTTGAAAAGAAATTTTTATTCTCAATTAAATTAACTCATTTTCACAACAAAGTTTTTGTCTTAGCCTTTTTTTGAAAGTGAGAGTTTTACGAACTTGGAAATAGTCTATACCATTTCTATTAATGGGTGTTTTTGTGTAAAAGGTCGCTTTAAAATTTATCCAAAATCAGCGAGTAGTCTGAATACCTTTTGTTTTTTGTGATTGCGTGGTTCACTCGCATTATCTGCGACTGTTAATACTCTTTAATCGGCAAGGATAGGTAACTCAAAACGACCTGATAAATACAAAGTTGTGTTATAAAGAATAAAATATTTGGCTCCCGGTTGTCTTTTCAAAGGGATGAAAATGAGGCAGCTCTTTCGTATATCAGTTCTTTTTGTGCTGGGTCAATTACTCTACAAAGCAGTAACTCAGCAATGCGGATCCCAGGTATCCGTCTTCGGCTGGATGTTAAAGGGACACATCTACAACACGATGTCGGCAAAACTCCCACATACATGCGTACAAGTTTGTCGCGAAGACGATCGATGCCAAAGCTTTAACTGGGTGATCTCTTTTCTCAAGTGCGAGTTTAGTAATAGAACCAAGGAAGCCAGACCTGAGGATTTCATTCCCGACCCAGATAGATTTTACTACAAACGTGATAGGAACAGAGGTAAAAACTGTTTACAATTCTTAATTAATTGTTAAATAAATATAATTTTCCACCCCACCCCGCATGGTCCGTTCCGAGTTACATGGTCATGAAGCAACGATTGAGCGTCCTTTTAATGCTGATATCAAGGCAACAGATAAGGAGGATTTTTTATCCGTCAGGCTGTTACTGAGTTTCCTACCCTGAAGTATGTAGCAAACGGACTGTCTAAACCGACTGTAAATCAAATAAAAGATATAATGAATTGACTTCTTTCAGTGCCTCTGGGTTCCATTCCCGAACTGCCGGCTGAAACCTGTTTAGAAATAAAGATGAGTGAAGGTCATTCCATCAGTGAAAACTATTGGTTTTCTGCCGTTAAACCTGGCACATCTGTTCTCGCTCACTGTAATATGGAGACTGAAGGTGAGTTCACTTTAAATTTATAAGTGATAACATCCGTATCACTCGGTTATGGACAAACAAAGTTGAGGAAGAGAAGAGAATGCTTTGGAGGTGAGGAATGAGTTAGCGTATAACTGAATGATCCAGGGGACTAACCTTAAAAGGATTAAGGCTCTTTCAAGTATATATTGTCCATTTTGCATCCTTTGTATTAATTTACACATGCAAATGTGAAATAGACAGAAAAATAGGCTGCTTGCTCCAGGGGTACTCCTGAACGTCTAACTTCTACTTTTATCATTCAGATATTGACGAATGCACTTCATCTGTTCGTCTCTGTGACGTCAATGCGACTTGCACCAACAATGATGGATCTTACATCTGTACTTGCAAGAATGGATTCTCCGGTGACGGGAAAGCTTGCAAAGGTAGGAA